CACCAGACGCAGTCTGAAGGGTAACACAGGATGGCGTCCAAATAGTTTATCTTTAACTGTTCACTAAATCTTCCTAATGATGGTAAATTAGCTCCTGTGTCAAATATCATATTGCAAGGAACTCCATCGATATGCCCATTGATGGACAGTCCGTTACTGTTGCCACTCACTATAGAAATCTTGATCGCTTTAAAACAAGGTTTTTCATTCTCTGGCAACCTCCGTTCCTCGATACGGTCATTCATTTCTTTCCTCCTTCGTCGCTGGGAAATGGTCTGAATTTTCGTAATCTGGGGTATTCTGCAATTCTTTCGTACATGGCCTTCAGATCCTTGAGTTCCAGCACTTTAGTTTGTTGTCAATCCTTTTCCGTCCCATGTCAATTTAATTGTCTGTTTAACCCGCCTCTCTTATTTTCCGTGCTCTGGACTGTTCTGCAGTTCCTTCGTGTGTGGCCTTCAACACCACAGTTCCAGCACTTTAGGGTTGGTTTCTTCTCACCAGTACTCCATCTCAAGGCATTCACTGATCTTATCAAATCATCCGCTTTATTATCCATGCCCTGGGTGTTCTGCAATGCCGTCGTAGGTGACCTTCAGAACCACATCTCCAGCATCTTTACAGCCACTTGTTCTCACTGCTACCCGTATCAAAGCATCGACTTGTCTGGAAAATCATCTAAACGAGCCATCATTGGTCCCCTGGGTCGTGGACTCGCACAGCTCTGACTGGGTAGCTATCCCTAAGAGTTGCTTGCTGGGCTGCCTCAAATTTCATGGCATACACTAAAGCGCTTTTCAGATCTTTAACATCCGCCATTCGCATGCTTTCTGTATTTCAGGGTCCCGGATGCCATCGATGAAATATTGCAGGGACAGGATTTCCCTTTTTCTGTCGGGCACTCCGAAAAGGCGTGATGACAGCCTTTCAACTCCGTGGCGAGCTCCTAAGCGTTTCGGTGAGCTTCTGTTGACGAGATTTTAATTGGAGCCTGCTGTGTCTTTTAAACATTTCTCGCCAAAGGCAGCTCCAATGCGCCGGATAGAGCTTCGAAGTCAAGTCTTTGGGTTTTCGGGAAGCGTCTGCAGTATATCCGCTGCGTCTGCTCGCAGAGAAGCGGCGAGATGACAGGCCTTAGCTTGGGAATCCCATCCATTCGCATCCGCAACTATAGAAAATTGGGTCTTATACACTTGCCAGGATGTCTTCCCATTATATGTGGATAGCTTCAGAGGTGGACGAGCAGGCATCGGTAAGAATTTTAAAATCATCATTCTTGCTCCCTGCCGTCGCTACGAATTTCTTTAACGTTTCCCATTCTTTTGGCAACTTCAGAAATCTCTCATCAATTTGTTGTTCGATTTGGTGTTGGACGGCACAACTCTTCCTTCAATTCGTTCCTCCACAGCAGAACTCCCTTCTATATGTTCTTTTACAGAAGAAACTCTTTCTTCTATTTCTTCTTTCAACCGAAGAAACTCTTTCTTCAATTAGTCCAACTTTATTTTCAACTGTGTCAATTCTGCCTTCCATAGCTTCAAATTTATTTTCTATTATGCAGGTAATCTCTCTTTTCATTTCTCTTGACCTGCTTCAATCTTTCTTGACCACTTGAAACGGCTTTCATTTCGTCCTTAACAGGTTTGACGGCCCTTCCATCTTTCCTTGGCTAGATTTCATCTCTTCTTTCATTTCTTCTTTAAACGGCAAAGGCTGTTATCAATTGCCTTAACTGCTCTTCCATCGCTCTTGTTATTGGATTCAAACCCCACTCCTGACACCAAAAATTGTTGCGTGCGTACGGATTCGTTACTAAATGAATGCACAAGTCCGATGAAAAATGAACAAAAATTTATTATTATCACAACAAAAATGCTTAAATTTTCTCAAATTATCACGCAGTATTACAATATCTCACAGTAGTTTTTCTTTTTAACTACTCAAATGTCCAATAGAACGTAATTCAAACAGCTAAAGAACGCTAATCCGCGAATTCGCTACAATCACAACAGTAGTTTTCTAACAACAACAAACTAAGCAACTACTCAACTGAGATGTTTTTCCTCCTTTTATAAGATTTTAAAATCACGCGCTAGAATTTTCCAGCACTTTCTCGAAATCAAAAAGAGATATTTATTTATTTAACGCACGCGCTCTTGTATTTTTAATTTTTCCGGCTTAGCTTTCTTTTAATATTCGTCACGCGCTGCACTGCGCGAGAAATAAAACCATTTAATTTATAATTGAACTAACATTTGCTTTTTAAATACCAAATTCGTAACAGTATAAAGCGTTTGGGGTTAAACCTTTACTGCAATAATCTTCAGGCATACAAAGATGATTTGCTTATGACAATTTGAAAATAATACTTCTCAACTATTACTCCAAGCAAATGGTTTAACTTGGAGTTGTTAAATATAACAAAAAATGGAATGTACAACAAATTAAAGATAACATTTGAAGTACATTTTTGAATACGTGTTTAGCAAGTCATACTTTATCAGTCAAAAGCTGTAATAGATGTTTTTGACACTATTTTGGTATTCCGAAATTGTTTCAGCTTAATGTATACGAAAATATTGTAAAAAACAAAAATATAAAAGAATTCAAAATATAAGAAGAAACAGCTTCGAAACGAGTTTCTAATATCAAAAAGTCTAATTATTCCGTCTACTTCAAAGCGTGTGGCATCTCATCTTCCATTAAAAACATAACAAAGATATTACCCATCTTTAGAAATCTCAATTACTTACAAAAAATATTCTTGAAAATGTTCTTATCGTATAAGCTTTGAATCTGCGTTGTACACATATTTTTAAAACATTTCTTACAAGATACACAAAATAATTACAAAGAATGACTTTAAACTCAAATGTGCTGAGACGTGGATTCGCAGCACAAAATTAGGATAGTTTTATACCTCATTTAACCAAATTATTATGATATTTCTAAACTTACACATGGCAACATAAATCCAGTAAGCCTTCTCGAAGTAGGGATGACATGCTTATGCTTGAACACGATAAAACAGAAAATCTCCCACTAACGCGAATAAAATATTTCCCCCTCATCTTGCTCACAGCTTTCAAGAAGGAAAAAAAATCCTACCTCTTCTTATACATGCACGTAAAACAGGCTAAAAAGACAACAGAAACATGGTTTTGAACAAGACCTTCCCTGAACTTCATCAACAATATCCCCTTCCCTTCAGTTGATGGTAATGGGCCAGGAAATACAAGGGAGGTACCTTCAGATTACAGGCTGAGGATTTCAAAGAGAAGATTATGTCGGGGTGCATAATGAGCAAGTAAATTAATGCTTGTCGACGCTCTATGTTAGGGTTCATTAATGATATACTTGAAAAGTATGATAAAAAATGGAACAGCTTAAAAAATCAACTCCAATTAAAGTGTTATCCACTTCATTATATAAAAGAGAATTGCACTGTCTGCAAGATTTTTAGAAAAAATGGAAATTACAACAATGGTAAATGGTGAAAGTTATAAAAAAATATGGTGAATTGTGAAAGTTACAGAGAAATATGGCAAAATGGTGAATGTTACAAAGAAATTTAATTATAAGATTTCTGAACAAAGGTTGAAAAATCAGGCGCCTTTTAGTACTACGACAGCGTATTTATAATCTGCAAATATGAAGCATTACACCTAACTTTATAGAACCTATAGTTAGGAGCAATACCGGATCGTTTAATTCGAACAACCATAGAAATGATTCACAGAATAAGGTCCAAAATATAGATAAAAAGAAGAATCAGCTTAATAGATAGTCAAGGGAAGGATTTTTGTTTTACTAATTGCTTCTATAAACCTAATAAACTTACAGTAGTACAAATCAAAAGACTTCACACATTATATGCAGAACCCGGTAAAGATAATGTGGGAAAATACTCATAATAATTTCCCATGGATACCTGATGACCACTTTTAATGTTTATTAAAGAAATACAAAAATAATACATTTCTTATTACAATAACACTTTTATAGAGTTTTCTGAAGAAGTGGACCTGAAGCTTCTGAAGATATTTTTACCATGTTTTAACGTTTGTATAAGGAATTTCCGGATTTGTTGGCTTAAAATTTGGAAAAAAGTTTTCATTAAAGATAATTTTATTTTAAGATAATTTTTTTTTTAAATTTATTGTAGAAACTATTAAATTCTTACATCACTCTCATATGATATACCTCAGTCAACTACATAAACTAGTTCATTTTCAGAGTCATTCTCATAGTAAACGGCATCATCCTAAGAACCATCCATGTTGTTGCATATGGTTATGCCACACTTTTCAAAGGCCTTTTACAAATATTTCCTTTCTCACCCCAGATGCATACTTCACTAATTGCTGGCTTTCTAACCTTTCGATTGGAATCAACATCTTGTATCCATTTGCTTCATTCCTCCATCATTAGTACCTTGAATGGTTTGTTGATACTACGACCAGAGAGTGCTGTAAGGTCAAAAGAAACAACCGCCAATTTAATTCCTGAGATTTTTGCCAACTACTTTGCTTCATCTCTTAAAAATTCCCTGAATTGATCTAGCAGCAGTCCAGCTGGCTTATTAAACAAATTCCCAGCAGGTCTCTTGTTTTAAAATCTTCTCGAACCAAAATTTCATGGTCTTTTGATCCATCCAGCCCTTTGCATAAACATGCCAAAGAACTCCTCCTGACAGCTTTTCCTTTTGAAATAGAACAGATGTGGCAGCTAGGTGTCATCAGTACAGCGTAATGGTTCATTAAATTTCATTTAACTAGAATTTATTTCTTATTCAATTCGCATGATTGGTGTTGCTGTTATTGTCTTGTCCATGTATTTCATGAAAGAATGGTGGCCAGACACTCAGGTTAGGCTTCTACTTCCATCCGAGTCTTGGGTGAAAGCATCCGGAGGGGGATGAAGATTTCCCACCCCTCTCCCCTACCATAAGCCCATGGAGGAAGAAGTACCTCCATGACCAAAACATCTCCATTTCTTACCTCCATACCAAAACACACGAGGAGTCTTTCGGCTCGCCATACAGTGACCCCCATGCCGCAAAGGCATTATGCATTTACAAATATCCAAGTCTTCTCCGGGATTCGAACTCGGGCCCTTCAGTACCGCAGTAAGCTCCTTAACCACTTTACCGTCTGAGCGGCTTAATTCCAGTTAATTCAATAAATTTCATTTACCGCTGGAAATGAGTTTCCTCAATAAAAGTTAAATAACCAAGAGAATGACATAGTAAGGGACCTTGGAGATGCTAAGGAAAGTCGGCCGTAAGTTTTGTTGTAATCAGTATCATCTATGAGTTCATTTAGCTTTTTAATAACTATGCTATTAAATAATAGTACACAGGAAAGAAAACAGTTATATACTGCTCTTTTGAGAAAACACAGATAAGGTAATACCGATAATGCCTTAATATTCGAGAAATACATTGAACAGAACGCTACAATCATTCACAGAATTAACTCAAAAGCAGTAACTGCATATCTATGGTCTGACTCAATCAACTACTCAGTTCTAAAATAGCTGATTTCCCACTTTCAAACACGGCTGTTTATATACGGCTGACCGGTGTTTTAGACACTTCGGGAAATAACAGCTACTAAATCTTCGAAAATGCATTTTCTGGAAACCTTTAAAAGTTGCAAAGTTGGCTAAAAATGCTAAATGTAGCCAAAGGTTTTTTGCCTCAGCTTCGTCAGGAGAAGATTATATTTCTTCTTATTGAGGTATTTCCACAATTTAAATGCTGATCGATTTAGAATCACACGGTCTATATCTTTACACGAAATACGCACTTATACGTATAACACGCGGTCACACATTTCATTTAACAAAAGTACATGCTAAAAGCGCTACATAAAATGCAACAAACAAACAAAAGTAATGCAAAATAAAATATTTGCAAAAACTTACATCACCTTTTCCCCTTTACATATTTACACAGAAAATGCACATCAGTGTTAAATTCCACTTAGCAGAAAATAAAGGGTTTTGAACAATTCTAGAAATATGTAGTTTTCTTCGTTTTTTCTTTCCTTTATTATCTGTTTTGCTGATCTAATATTATTATTTATGATCCTGTTTGAAACATAAATTGCGATGAATTACAATGATAATACCATCAGTAAAAATCGATTCCAAACTACGTAACGATACACTCTTTCCTCAAGAGGCCTTAAGGCTTTCTGCAATCAACGTCAATAAGATTTTAGAAGGCAACGCTGAATAAAGGAATTGAATTCAGAGAAAGAGAAAAACGCAGGAAGAATGTTTTATGAGACAAAATTTCCATATTGCTAGAACATGAATCATTGTGTTGATGCATTTCGTTGCAGAGATGGCCCCATTTTCTCATTTCAAGTTGTTTTTATTTGCACGCGCCTTTTAGATCGTGAACATGCAGGCCCTCTAGACAGTAATTTGAAAAAGGATACTGAAATGGCTGAAAAGGAATAGTATTGCCAAAATGGGTATAAAAATCAAAATAAATACTAATGCCAAGTCTCAGTTACTTAACTGCGGAATGATCATGGTTCTGTTGAAAAAAGTTTTCAAATATTGTAATCATATACATGAAGCATTTAAAGTCTGCTATTGAACATCTAACAAATAGTTATTATGTTATGAAGGAATTTTCTTCCATCAAATAAACTTTCTTAATGTCGATTACTTTAAGAAACCTTCTAATCATGACCATGACAGATTCACATGAATTTTGAAATCTTAGCTCTTAGGTTAATTTTGATTTGTTTCAATTATTCTCTGCATTCAAACTGTGCATTTGTGTTTCTGACTGAAGACAGATTTACTTACGTACTTTCATAAGAATAATAGAAGAAAATAAATAATGCAATAATAAATAAAAAAAGAAAGAATACAATATTTGGAGAAATTTCTGAGTTCAATAGAAAATTAAAATCATAACAAATAGTTTCGCAAGTCCAAATAAAAGTCAAATCAATGTATCAAGTCAATAATGAAAATCTGAAAACAAAAATCTGAAGCATATTGCCTAATTAAAACTAAAAAAAGGCCTCATTAAAACTAAAAGCATGAATATCTGTTCTGATTATGAAAGGATTCAAAATTCACCAATTCATACACAGATCCATTAACAGTTTAATCACTTTGCCAATCTGTCCCAATGACATTGGCCCTTTCCCTGATAAGGTAAATTAAACTCTTTTGAAAATGTATAGATAAACTTTGGTACGACTTCGTTTATAAATTGTTTAACCTTATTTACTATTCTACTGTCTCTCAATTTCTTTAATCGTTTCCTTCACAGAAAAAAGTGATTTTTTTTAACAACCGATGCAAACTATGACAGTTCGGTTGCACACCACAGTGGTATCTGAGTATACGTTATTAATACGTTCCAGATCCTTGGACTTAGCATACTGAACATTTACCGAACGAACTTTTCCACTATTACCAATCGAACTTTTCAAATACGAAAAAGGATATTTACCAAATGAACTTTTCCAATAAGAAGATATAAAGGGAAAATAATTAATCCATCCTTAATTGCTATTATTATATCAGTGATTAATACTAAATACAAAAGCACTGGTGAAATATATACTGTACTTAAGTGAAATACTTTGCATATATGGTTTCTCTCTTGTCCAGATATACGTTTTTAACAGGCCCTAATATTCACCCCTTTTACAACGTTAGTCTGTTTAATAGATTCTTTGTTTTTCACAACCGTAGATACCGTTGTTAGCGGGATATGGTATGGCAATAGCCTATGTGTCACAGCATGTGATCATACATTTCAACAATCTCCTCTTTTCCCTCCATGGTGATTATAGTCATTTTCTTCTTATTAACATTTTAAAAATTCAATGTGAACGAATTTTGCACTTCCACCCCCCAAACAAATTAAAATTACAAGAAAATATTGCGCGGCTAAACGTACTAACGCTCATGCGCAGTCGCAGCATCATCTTGAATGGTACAAACATGGGCAGCGCAAACTGGAGCTCATCGAATACAAGTGGTATTGCAAACGAATTAGGCTTAAAAACCAAATTGCGAATTAAGCTTAAAAATGAATTTTGCACAGATTTTACACAAATTACGAATTAGACTTCAAAAACATGTAAGATGATTTTTGACCGTATTTTATTTTTAAACGATGAAAATTCAAAAGTTTCCCCTTTCCGTTTTATGAACAAAATAAATTAAACTCAAATTACGTTTAACTACGCAATACATTTCGTTATTTTTGTGCCTATATTTTCTTGCAATGAAACAAATCCAAGAATCAGTTCGTCCAGTTAATTAGGTGGAGTTCAATTAATCAGGTCCATTTTAGGTGGATTTAATGCTATACTCCACCTAAAATAACCCAAATGAGGGAACAACACCACTTTAAAAAAGAAAATAACGTTCGCCCAAAAGGGTTTGTTAAGGCCTTTCCTGCTGAGCTAGTAGTCTTAGCAGTATCCTGTTGCACTCTTTCTTGATAACCCATTTCTTTTTGTCTTTTTAGCTTTATTATTAAGCGTCATTTTCTTCGCACTTAAGGTTATATACAATTCAACAACAAAATTACAAAAACGTCAAAAGCAGCATATGTTCAGAATTCCAGATGCAGTGTTAAGTGTTGGCATATATTTTTCTATTTTTTCAGTTTTTTCTTAGTTCATCATATCAAAGTTCAATTTTCTTAGTAAGATGGCTTTTAAAACTTTTTTGGGGGAGGGGGCTTTATATTATTTGCGAGTCAAATTTATTAATTAAATATCATGTTCTTCGCACTTGCGCCGCATAAAATTCGGTTCAACAGCAAAATCACAAAATATTTAAAAACAGCATACCTTTAAAATTTCCCATAGACATTTCCTGCGTGCTGCAGATAAAAATGCTTTATTCTGTAGTGTTTCCACTGATCGCTTTCAAATCGTTGAGTTTGTTAATCAAAGATCTACTTAAGTTTTACAAAATATGAAATTAAAACAAAAAAACAAATTCAGATTCAAAATTAGGGCTTCCAGGTGTCCTGGACAAATCTGATGGCTCTAAGTATCGTCATATTTCACAATACGAGGAATATATATATATACATATATGCAGATTCTTCAGTTTTTTAAAAATAATATAGGGCAATAATATTTGGTAGCAAATGATCTAAAAAGTGATACAGCCGTTTACAGGGAACAACACAAGAATCCCGTTTCCAGACTAACAGCCCATTCGGACTAATGTCTTTTTGGGTTAATCTTATAAAAAAGAAAAGTCCACGTGTTTGTTCGCTAATAACTCAGTCGCTACTATAGGTATCGTCACCAAACTCTTTACAGTTCTTTTCTGGGTCCTGGAAAAGGTAGACCTTCACTTTTTTTCCAAAAAAAGATACATAAAATAAGAGATATTAGTTGGAAACTCGGAATGTAATTTTCGCCCTCATTTTTCCGAGTGGCAACAGTCTCGGATGCTGGAGATGAAAAATCTGCTTTAAGTTGTTGCCATTCCTCACTTACAAATCCTAAAGTTTGTTAATAAAAAAATTCTAAGCTTTACGATGTAATAAAAATCGCATTGCCAAACATTAAATAAATAAATTATTCCTGATTCCAAAAATTCGTGGGAAGCCATTTCGACTGTTCCCATCTTCGTACGACTTTAATCACCCGAAATATTAATTAAATAGTCTGAAAGCGCTAATTTTCGCACACATTTTTTTCCGGGTGGCAACAGTCTGGCGCATTGGAGATAAAA